ATTGAAATATTTAATTAAATTATCTCAAAATAAACCATTTCGGTGCAATATTGAAATTTGCTTGAATTCTTCATAACCTCTGAATAGTGGTTGACCCAACGGGTCATGGTGTTCTAGTATAACCTAATTTTCAGCATAGTAAATACGTTTATTCTCTATATTTTATGTTTCATGAAGTTTTGGTTACATGACAGGTATATATATTTCATATCTGTTATTGCAATTTGTGTAGACTCTTAAATATTGCTTGATGTGATACAACTTATTTAAGCTTCAATCCATAAATTGGATAATACTTAACACGTTGTTACGCTCGTTGAACAAATAACATAAAAGCTTTTCTTTAAAAACCTATTACACTGAAAATAATATAGTATTTTAATCCAGGAATATGTATTCAAAAAGGAATGTGATTTTTTCATGATGCGAAGATAGAATCAACCGAACTAGTCGTCACATGTGAGCCGGTGCCTTGATTTCAAAAATTAACCAATAAAAAAAAATAAGTAATATAAATAACCAAAGCCTTGCCAACTTAAAAAGAAATGTGAGTGGTTTTCGGGTTAATAGCTGGAATATGAATTTGTTTTGTCTAGAAACAAGCTGTAACACTAAATGTTTTCATTTTCATATACCAGTGACATATACTTGTCTTTTTTATCAGTTAATTGCAGTTAAAAAAATAATTATAAATCTGACATAAAGACAGAAGATTTAAGGTTCTATTTTTAACAGTAATAATTGAAGTACTGTAAAATAAATCGGTTTTTACAGATTACATTTTGTCGTTATTATGATAAGTCTAACAAAGAAACAACTGCCATTAAATAACTTAACTAAGTTTCAAAGTTAATACTAGCAATAAACCATACTTTCAAGTATCACGTGTTATGTTTCCGAAGGTATCACTGGAAATAGTCCAAAATACTAGGTAGGCGAGCAGTCTTTAGAGATACCAGAGTTAGTAAGTACCCTGTGTTCATAAAAGTTATCGTACCTCTTAACCGTTTGTTTATTTTAAGTGCAAAGCTGCATAATAGGCTATTTGCGCTTTGTTCACTTTTAGTATTGAACTCAATACTTTAAGCGTCGTAAACCCACAAGCTTGCTGCTCAGCCACCCGATTCCATCTTTTCGAATAATGGCAATATTTCAGATGATTTGCCGATCCTCGATTTTCTTTTGGGTTTACAATACATACATAACACAACCCGACAGTAGATTTTTGGGTGGTGTGATTTATCAGAGAGAGAGATAGGGAGAAAATTGTGGTTGAACGCCTGTTATCATTCGCATCATGTAGATAGTTTAATGTGCGTCTACTTGTAGTTTGTTTAAAAAGTTGGCCAAAGAAACCACGAGAACAATTCCAGGTTTGTTCACTCAACCTGGAATTAGGCTAACTCATGACCGTGAATCTTATCATATAACCAGTCGTTCTGTCAATAAAAGTATCTGGTATTATTACAGTAATAATGATAAGTCATTGCAGTTTGGCTACGAAAGGAAAAAAAAAATCAGTAATCTTGCTGTAGTTTTTCCCCATGATTACTGTTTAGTGTTTTATTTGTTTAATTATCGTTATATTTAGCAACTGTACTTTGAAAATGTATAAAGACTGATGTAAATTCATTTTATTCTGCTTTAAATACTGAAGATGGAAACTGATAGAATTCCGAAACGTTTATCCATGTCCCCTTTTTGTCAATAAACAATGTTGTTTATCATAAGTGTCGTAATCTTGTTTATAATTAGATTCAGTAAGAACATTTTACAGAAGAAAATCACTTTAATAAGCCTTTCTCTAATTTCAATAATATTCGAACAGCTGCATGATTTTTACATTTTGCACAATAAACAATAAAGCTAAACGCGTATTCATTTCTGCTTGAAAACGAATTTGTTATATACTTATTTTAATATCAACGTTTGTCTGAATTGAGTTTATATTTAAAAATGTACCTAACTTACAGTGCTAGTTACGTACTGCGAAACTCCCGTCAATTCTCTAAGGTTGTAGAATATTCGTGAACGTAAGAAGCGACAATATATCCACAATATACGTATTGCGAACTTGAAATAGCCCGAAGCCGATATTTTAGTTAATTTCCGCTATTTGCCAACAAGATTGACACATACCATTTTCGTTTTTCACACAAATACTTTTAATATGTATATACAACAGTATAATTTACAATAACAATTATTACGACTAGTTACTACAAACAAAGTTTCATAAACAAAGATTTCACTAACAATACAAATCTTCCTTCTAGATTGGAATTCCCTTGATATCTAGTGAGGTAACTTCAAGTCGATGTACGTACGATTGCCGGAAAGCTAGCTAGTTTTGTCTCATTGGTCACCACATTGAATTGTTGGTCCGTTGAAGTAAGATAATGT